ATTGTTGCTTCTGAATTCAAATGGGTGGGATAAGCCTTCTGCAATCTGGAACCCTCCAGACTTACTATGACTACAATTCCCAGAATTCTAGGTTGGCAGATCTATGCCAGGTGGGAGTCTGGGAGCTATGGTTCCTATACATCTGGGGAGTGTGAGATCAGAGAAGGTTGCTCCAGTGAAATCTAAATATTTCTTGTGTCATTTGTCTCAGGAGCTGAGGTGGAACTGTTTACTTTGGCACTTCAGGTTGTAACATCTCAGGAATGGGAGCAGAGACGTGTGGCAGACTCTAGTTTCTTTAGGGGACAAGATTGTCAGCACCTTTTGAATCTGATAAACCTCTTCTCCGAGACAAAAATTCCAACCACCACAATTTAAAAGAAATGTTTGTGAAGCAGCCTTGAACTGAAGAACCTTTTAAAGGATGTAAATAGAAATGGGAAAGGCCAAGATAAAGATAAGGATGAGGGAGGGGAAGTCTTGTTGTTACATATCTAATAGTATCAAGGGCACTTTTTCCTTAAAAGACTGGGGGAGGGGGGAGCAGACAGAAGGAAGTGGTATTTTCAGAACAATGCCCCTCTTAATTGATATCAGAGAAGTTCCTCATTGGCGCAGCTTATCAGGTACCATGGTGCCAACCAGCTATCACCAATTCTAATTGTTCTACAACTTCACTATTCTCCACTTCGTGTGAATGACTGGGAATCTCTCCTTTTTGCATCTAAATTATATTCCATCCTGTTTCTTTGCTTATTGTTGGTTTTAAATGCATTTTGCTTCTTACGTCTCCTTCAGTGAACTTTGTGACCCTTCCATCCCCCCAGCAATCTAGTCTGGGCCTTTCACTGGACTGTTCTTCTGCCTCTAGCCATTGGCGGGAACATGGGTTGATGGGATCTGAGACTCCTGAATGTCTGGTGCTGAGCACCTGACAGTCCAGCACAGCTCTCTGCTCCACTGATAGAATCCACTGTATCTTTTCCCAACCCGGATGCCCTTCAGATGTGTTAGATGACAGCTCCCATCATCTGTAGCCAAATGGTCCAATGCGTAAGTCCTGGGTTGGGGAAGACTGGTCTAGCAGCCACAAAATATACAGTTAGTGTCAATAATTCTTATCTTGGACTGGGACTGCTCACTGAATCATAAACTCTACTTGAACATCAACCATAGTCCTAGAGTCTTATAGTCCAGAGAAGGAGTCATCATGGCATTTGGAAAAAAAGAAAATATACAAGAATCAAAATCAACCTAGCTTTTTCAGAGCTTTAAAGCTCAACAATTACAACCTTGTCAAAGTTCTTCCAATCAACAGGAAAAGAAAGGCAATAATTTCTTGTGGAGATGTTGTAGAATTATTTTGGAGGTGAAACCAGCTTCCAACATCTGGATGCTTTGGATCAGGACCAAGTTCTGTTGTGCGCAAAAAATGGGTTGACCTATTTTTAAAGCTTGTGAAAAACTTGATTTGCTTGTTTCTGATCTTAACACTCCCATTGTAGAAGATTTTTACCATCAGTATTCTTAAGGAACTTAGGAAGTTAAGATTATGAAGGACTTTGGGAGATATCAAAGATAACTGGATTTCAAAAGATTCAGAAATCTCAAGAGGGAGCCAAGAACTGTGAGTCTCCTTCCTTGATCAATTAATTTTTTTTCAAATATTTCAGAAAATAGAAATGGGGCTGAATTGTTAAGGTGGGGAATCACTTGAAGAAATAAATCATTAAATTTTATGTCTGTTCCTTTATGAAATAAAGAATAAAGATGTTAATGGAGGCAGGGAAAAATCAGACTGGCATCTTGGTGTCATTGTTGGCTATTTTACACGATTTCACCAGCACTGCACTTATATTCCCCCAGTCACTTGAAAATAAGGGGGGAAAATCCATGGGGGATGCAAATAGCACATCTTGCTAAGTAAAAATAGCAACACTTTGAACTCAGACCTTTGTAGAATTGAGAAGATAACCGGAGAGGCGGAGTCAAGGTGTCCAGGTGAGAGTGATGGGAAAAGGCAGTCCTGATTGGCTGTACAGTTGAGGGTGGGGCTTGGCAAGGGCCTCTTACATAACCGAGCAGCATTTACAACGCTGTTTCTTCATGTCAAGATCCTGATCTGCTCCTTTGGGGTCCGTGTCATTGGCTGATGGCTGTGCCCCAGTTTGGTTCTCCTCCTTCTGAGCCAAGGGTTCCATCGCGCTGCCATTAGGTGGGGCATGATCTGCTGTATAATCTCCTGCCGGTTTATTCTCAGCATCTTCTATCACCACCAGCTCTGCCTTGATTTGCTCTCCCTCGAGCCCCAGCACTTTTTTGGTCTCATTTTCATCTTCCACGTTCTGGTAGCCCATGAAGATCATGGTGACGGGTTGTTCTTTGCTGGGCTCTGGGCCATCACTGGAAGCCAGTAGCTTTGGACTCTCCATTGGTTTAGCCTGCACACCTGTGATTTCCTTCCGTGGGGTGACCTTCTGGCTTGGGAGGTTGCTTAGGGCCTCTTTGGCAGCCTTCTCAGAGACTTCACTCAGGGTAACTTCATCGGCCTTATGGATGAGCTCATCCACTTCAGATGAGCTGAGCTGGTGGAGGCCGTTTTCAATAGCCCCATCTTCTGCATGGACTGCGTGGACCACTACAACAGAAGACAGAGAAGGTACACAATGAGGATGATGATAAGAGTCACCAGACCTTCATTGTTGCTTTCAAAAATGACTTATGGGCCGATATCATCGTTTCTACTCCTTAACAGAGGCTGAAGTGGCACTAGAGATCCAAAGATGCCAAGAATTTGCCCTTTAAAGCAGTATGGATTTTTATCTTGGAGGGATTTGATAAGGCTCATGGACTTCTGACAGCTCTAACAGTTAAGCACCTCAAATGCCAACCACACCTACCCGTTCTTTACTCAAGTGTTTTGTTCTGTATGTGTGTATACTAATGTCAGGCCAGTTCTCAAGCAATTTGATGAAACAGCCTTCACTTTTCTTTCAAAGGAGATGAGGTGGTCATGGAAGGCCAAAGGAGATGTATGAATGTTCTGTCTTCCACTCTATCTATCTATCTATCTATCTATCTATCTATCTATCTATCTATCTATCTATCTATCTATCTATCTAATCATCTTTCTGGCAGCCGGCAGCCTCCCTGGCTTCCCCCCCTTTTATTCCATCCAAAGAAAAGTAGGGAAGATCTATGGGGCTTTTTCAGAGTTCTTCCCTTGAGAAACAGCTGGAGATTTTTTTTCCCCTAGAGAAATTTAGGAAAAAGAAATCTACGCATTTGGTGGAGAATTTAGAAAGGCCATTTGTACTCGGCTATCAAAGGTATACCTTTTTTTTTTTTAGGTGAATTTGGTCAGAAAAAGAAAAAGCAGTAAGTGTAGGAAATGAGTGGGATTTTTCAACCATGACAGTTAGTGCCCTTTTTATTCTCTATCTTCTCGACCTTCACTTTCTTAGTAAATCAATAAGGATCCCTTGCATTATTATATTCTTCACACTGGAATGGAAGGTAAGAAAAGTAAGGAACATTTTGATGAGGAGTTAGTGTTTTTGGCAGAAAAATGAAAATATGACTATGTTTTTTAAACTGAAAAAGAAAAAAAGGGTAAATATGCCCTCTAATTGAACCTAACTCCTGGGTATGATCACTTAGTGCTCTAGAATTGATTGGATATTGTTTTCTTTCCAGATTTTTTTGAGCTGTCCACTCGAGCCTACTATTCCAGAATTTCCCAGGGATTTCCCATCCAAATACAAACCCATTGTGACCTTACTTAGCGCTTCAAAATCAACTAATGTTGACCAAGTGCTGCCACCTGCTGAGACTTAAAAACTTTATGCTAAAATCACCATCACCATCATCATCATCATCTCAAACATAGGATAGATATAATTTCAAAATTGTCCATTGGGATTTATGTGGAATATTCAACTTTGCTGTTTGCAAAAACCACTAGGATTTTTATGCTTGAAAAACATTTGCAAAATGAGATCCAAATTTTGTGGGATTTCAAAATTCAAACTGTTAGGATCATGATATAACACGTGCTGCTCTTACAGAAAAGAAGGTATCGTTCATTGATATCACAATATCTGGAGACAGCTGAATTGTTGAAAAATAATGGGAGAAAATATCTGAACACCATAATTTATAAACTGAGGTTGAAAAATAATGGACCATTAAACATTGATTGTTAATACCAATTGTAACGGGAACTCTTGGCACCATATGAAAAGGATTCACCAAATATTTAGAAATGTTAAACTTACTGGACTTCTGTAAAAGTTGTTTTACAGCAATACCTCCCTAACTCAGGTCGTAGGAGTGATTGGAGTCAACACCCGGTCAATGAGAGTATGATATTCATTTGGATAAATAGAATAATATTAATAATTATCAATAGGAAGTCTCGGCTTCTGAGCATTGCACATATTTCCAGCAGACAGCCTTCCTCCTGCACACAGAACGGCACTGGAACCCTTTTTCTACTTTGCCTGCCAAGTTGGATCCAAGGAGTGAGACGGGGGTCCCTCTTTTCCAGTGCCGGGGAAAACCAACACAAGTTGCAATTCTGAATCCATCTACCTGAAATTAAGTCCGCTAAACTCTTCGGATTGTAAGGCTTCTGAGGGTGGTTTTATTTGGGCCCTTTCCAGGGCAGGCCAAGATGGATGGTACCCCATCCTCTAGAAGCTTCCCAACATCCCGGGGCAAGTAAGGTGGCAGTGAGCTAGTCAGGGGTCCCAGATCAGGCAATGTGCTTCAAGGCTGAAAGGGCACTGGGTCCTTGGCCCTAACACAATTCCAAACACAACTCCTAACAGCTGCTGTGTTGTGGGAAAGAAACCAGGACTTGCGTCAATGTGATGTGATGTTCAGAACTCCATCTGAATCCCAGGGAGCATGAAAGATGATTGCAGGAGGCCAGACACATCCTTGGTCTGGGGACACTCCCTTCCAGTGCATACCTTTCAGCTCGTCCTCGTACACTTTGACTCCCTGAACTGAGTTCTCTTTGGGTAGTCTAGTGGTGCTGGACAGGACTTTGGTCTCCCCCGTGAGTTTGTCCTTCTCCACAGTGATCTCTACAGAGTACATAGCTGGGACACAAACAGGACACAGTGAGCAGCAAAAACGTTTCTGCCCCCTCCGCCCACCAACCTCTCCCTCCCTGAGCTCGGAAGTGAAGCATTCAGTACGAGCAGGGAAGGTGGGAGGCGCAGGGCAGGCTGGGGGCCCTGTGGACGGGCCCAAAGCATTAGAGGCACAGTGAAGAAGCAATGCACAAGGCAAGCGAAGGGCCTGAAGTGCTTTCTTCTAGCTCAAAGGAACAACGAACCAAAGAGCATCTGAGATGTCGCTCCCCTAAATCCTTGGTGGAGCCCCTCTGTGGCTCCCCTGATGGAATCCTAGTGAGCATTTCTAAAACGTTGACCTTCGGGATGATCTAAATCAGTGTTTTTCAACCTTGGCCAACTTTATAAGGGTGGGGGTTTATCCCCCCCCACCCCCCCCTCCTTCGGGGGGGGGTTGTGGGGGTGGAGTGCAA